GGAAGGTTGTTTCTTGAGGGACTTGAAAAGGAAGATAGATTAGTGTTGGTCTTAGAGACCTGGGTGCGTGAACGCAGAGCTCAATGGACAACTGCTTGAAGCCGGTCACGCACGGCCTTTTTAAGAAAGGTATTTTGAGTATTAGCTCCGCTATTAAAGGCACTTAGTGGGCACCCTTACCCAAGGAGACGGAAATTCGTGAGGTAGGTTGAGGTGTGACATGTTTAGGGTCGACCTTTTCTAACACTTCCTTCCTTGTGAGAAGGCAGCATCGTTGCAGATGCTGGTTATCTGAGGGAAACACCTTACTGCTGTCACACTCCTCTTCAGTCAGTCAGCAGTACGACTTCACCCTCAGACCTCGAGTAGCTGCTTTTAGTCTGATCGTTCTCCAATCGACCTGCCTGGCATGGTGGAACCTTCATGAATATATGTTCTAGCCAGTATAGCTCGGCTGGGTCATAACGATAGTCAACCTCGACCACCACGTCAAGCTAGCAGCTACGGTCGGGTCAACATCGTAGGATGCTGACTTACGATTGTGCGCAAAAGATAAAGTTCTGAAATCGATTCGCTCATGAGGAGCCGTAAATGCACACCACTGATGATTATGATGATGATGAGTTCCATGCTAGAATGATGATCTAACATTGATCATCTCATGATCGCAAGATTTTTGACCAATATAAATTGAGCAATAACTGATTTTTCAGTTATGACAAATATTTCCTAACACGACATGAACAGCTTATAAGGTTGAAAAAATTTAACTGACCTATTTGTTTTAGAGTTGATCAATAATTGTTTTTATTACATAATCTGGTTCTTGTTAATTCACACGTCTATTTACGTCTATTTTGTAAAGGGTTATATTACACTTCATTTTTAACATTGCGTCATGTTTTTTTTCTTTTTATATAAGAACTGAACGTCATCCTGTCATGTTTTCTAAAATGACAATTGTGTTGTTGTTGTTGCTGTTGTTTTTCATTTCTCTCAGACGTTTTTTTTTGCAAAAAAATTTTCATGACAGAATTGACTGAAAACTTTGATGCTTGCCAAGTTGTAGCGTTTTTTTCTATATATGAATATGACTGACTGCAACAACATACATGACACGTCCCTGGAGCAGGAGGGAGTGGAAAACTTTCCATTGTTTATGTCATTTTATAAGTAAAGATTTAATGCGTAGTCTAAATAGTAGAAGCTTCGAGATGTAAAAACAGAGTAACAATGGCGGCTTCATTCTGATTGGTTCCTAGGTAGTGTAAGGTCCATTTTTTGAAGGCTTTGTTTGTCCTTATTGATTCCTTCAGTTGTACATTTTGTTAGTCTGTTCGATTTCATTTTTTTGAGATGATGATATTTGTATTTTATTATAGTTTCTATTTCTTCTGCCTTCAGTGAGTTTCTATGTTTCTTTCTGAAATGCATTGATATTGTTTAAGCTGATACTTAGTCATGGCGACAGCCATACTGATTTGTTCATCTTTTGATTGTGTCGGTCGCATTGACTGGAAGTGTGCATTTTGATTGTGAATTGAAGCACCCTTCCAGAATAGGAAACACTCGGTGTCATGAAACAACCAAATATTATCTGTCGAACGAATCTGATCTATCCAGAAAGGATAGAATATCATTTATTTGTTGCTATTGATTTGAATAATTGAACAATGGCTGGTGGAATAACCGAGTGGTAATATTTGTTTAAGTAATGATGTACATTTATATTTATGATGAATATTAGAATCGTCATTTATCCAAATCACTTGTTTTGAATTTCAACTTGGCAATAGCACGTATCTACACTACCTAGACAGTTATTCCTTACCTCAATCTACACCTCAGTTTGTATCCTACAGGTCGTAAGTTATTACAATGGCCAACGGTTATGAAGTTTCATACAAACTTACTAAACATAAGAAAAGCGATTCCATTTTATTTTATAGTCAAATTCTTCTTTTTATTTAGTTCTCTGCGACCCATCTAATTTTTTGTTGACAGTACCTTTGTTCAACAATTAGCCATTCCTAGCTTTCTTCCAACCAACTACTACACCAAAAAACATCACTCGTCGAGGCGGTCAGTGGTTAGCCATACGTAACACATGTCTGAACCACCTCGACTAATGAAGTTTCAATACTTCATCTATCGATCTGTCATCCTTACCTAGAACTCGTTTCCTAACGACGGCATTGCTTGCTCGGTTGTCCCACAATAATCGAGCGATGCTTACGAGAAACCTATGATCGAAAACCAGTGAGCAACGAATATTTCCTACTCTGTCACGGAGCGTATTGCTGAGCAGTAGACTCGTTCTTCAGTTAGCAGACGTTCATGCCGCCTACACCAATCTTGAAGTAACATTTCTCATTTCGACGGCGAGAATCGTATCTCGAACATGCATGGATTGTTACTTCGGGTAGTCAGAAGATACTGCATTTCGTCAGCGTCTTCACCAAGTAGAACTATGTCATTGGCATATTCTAAGTCAGCATGCGTGTCTCCTGGTAAAGGTCCACTCCTGAAATGTCAGACGATGATAATGTTATCTATAAAAGCAAGTCTATGACAAAGTTAAACAAGAATGTAGATAGTGGATATCACTGACGGACACCACTTGAAGTAATCAATTCCGATTACAGTTCACCATTAGCTCACACTCGATCAGGTTAACATACTTTTTCTGTACACCTTTCAATAACGTAAGCCACAAATTATTCTTGTTTTAAAGATGACTTTGAGATTTGAGAAGAATTCAAAATCGATAAAACAGAAACTCACTCACAGTTAAATTATTCTTTACTGATATTCAGTAGAGACAATTTTCTATTTCTTTCACAACATTACAAATATCCTACTCTGTGTACTAATTTTCATAGTTCTCTTAAATGTTTATTCAACTATATATAGTAACAAGTCTCAGTCGAATTATTTGCAGTCTTCTTATTAAAGCCTATCAAACTTAAAATTATGCAATAAATTTGTTTTAATTAGAATTATGGAGGTCAGTGTTTTAACACAATTAAATCACGAATTAATCAATGTTAGACCACCATTAGAAAACTGAAAACACTGGACGGCCGTTTGTATAGTAGGACTCATCAGTGCCAGTGCGCATCCAAGACTCTTGCACCTCGCAGGAATCGAACCCAAGACCGTCGGTATTGTACGCGAACGCCTAACATTTAGACCAGTGGGTGAGTAGCTGGAGTGGTGGATGTGTACTGCTGATGAGTCCCATACAAAGATGAAATTACGGTTCAGTGCTTCCAGGTTTCCAGTGGTGGTCTAGAAATGATTCATTCATGATTTCAGTGTGTAAAAACACTGATCTCCATAATGCTAATTGGAAAAATCCATACAGTGTGCTCATTAGTGACTAGCTTCGTGAGGATATTCTCAGAGTTCCATTGACTAGACGTGACCAATGAAGTTCAACCCTGTCGGATGTAGGCAGTAACTACCAAAGACAAATGGGTGAGGTTGTGCAAAAATCCCTAGTTTGATCAGAGTTAGATGTTAACACTGTTGGGTACCAGGCCAGTGATCCAGAGATTAAGCGTCCACGCTCAAAGCTCAAGGTCCTGGTTTTGAATTCTGCCAACAGCAAAAGTAGTGGGTGCGCCCTGACACTGATGAATCACACATCATGACTAAACGGCCCTCCTTCAGTGTTTCCAGGTTTTTAGTGGTGATCTAACAATGATTAATTGATGATTTCATTGTGTACATAACAATTATTTATGGACAAAGAAATTCATTTGATTGTAAGATTTACCATTTTTTTTTAAAAACTATCCAACATAAAAATCAATAAGAAATAAAACGAGATGGGTATCTTGTTGACGAAATTACGGTGTCGAAACTAAATAATTTACTCATTAATCTTTGATTATTTGTCTCGATTGTATTTTTTTCTACAGAATTAAATGAATAATGGCGTTGTTCCGTTCCATTTTCGATTGATTTCATGTTAGATATCACTGACATCTAAATAAAGTATAGTTCTGATTGATATTTAAAGACTGTCACAACTTTCGATCCTGAGCTATAATTGGTCATGTTACACATTTTCGAAACCATGAATCGATCAATGTTAGACCACCATTAGAAACCTGGAAGCACTGGACTGCCGTTTCGTCCTGGCATGGGACTCCTCAGCAGTGCGCATCCACTACTCCTGCACCCTGCAGGATTCGAACACAGGACCTTCGGTATTGTGCGCGATCGCCCCAACCGATAGACCGCTGAGCCGGTGTCTAATGGTGTTAATGTCTAACTTGATCATATTCACGGAGTTGCGCAACCTCATACGCAGTCTTCGGTAGTTACTGTCTACACCCGAACAGGTTGAACTTCACTGGTCACGTCTTCCCACTAGAACTCGGAGAAGATTCCTCACGAAGCTAGTCACTAGTGAGCACAGGTAATTTGCATTACGGGGTTGTGAAGTTTGTTAAGTTACACATTTTGATCGATTCATGGTTTCAAAAATGTGTAACCTAACAATCTTCACAACCCCGTAATGCAAACTGATCATCTCTCAAACCATTGAGTTGCATCATTTCAGAGACCGTTACCAAGGTGTCGCGAAAGTCTAAGCGACACCATTTTTCGTTCTTTTGCTACGCGAGACCATGTCATACACTGACCACCTGTCCAGCATTGGCAAATAATTCACGATGAGGACTTCGCTGGGATTATATTCATAATGTGTATCCGAGTCGTCGAAGCTGGTCTCTCAATAGCATGACATCATCAATTGAATTATTAGCACTATGTTCGAACATAAAACACAGTAATCCTTCAGAGATAGTGATGATTGAACACGAATAGCTTCCTAACAGTGTACATCTCAGCGAGCCCCGACATTTCTGGACATTACGTCATGTTTTTTAATTGCTTAAAAATTCGATAATTCATACAATTTGCTCACAAGTTTATTTTGCTCTTTTATTGATTTTCTTTTGATCACATTCAAAAAAAAACAACATCAGATCGATGAACGATATGCCAGTAAATTTTCTTTAATTCTTGAAGAATCTCTGCAAGAATTAAGACGTTATGCGGAATATGTTCCAGGATTTATGAATTTATCAATGCATGATCGTGAAATCATGTTAAATTTACACTTATTGGATTTGTTAAGTTTTCGTTTAGCTTGGAGGTAAGTTAAAAAATGGAATTGCAGTTTGTTTAATGAATACTGTGTTTCTTTTTTTTTCATTCTCATAATTTGTGCCCCAATTCATTTTTTTAAAACGGTGTTAATTTACTTACTTATGCCTGTCACCTTGTGGTGAGCGCTACTTATAAGTAGTAGTATGACGCGAGTGTAAACGTATAATGTCTGGTGGCAGCAGAAGATGGGGGGGGGGAAGATCAAGACAACAAAAGAGTGGGAACACAATGGAATTTGTGTATGAAACGCATGAATAGTGAGTGAAATGTCAGACAATGGATTGATGATGGATTGAAATTGTGCAAATTAACGATTTACGATATGGTTTCCTATTTTACTGAGTAACTCTGTAATTTTCGTTAAATACAACTCGGTTGCCCTCACCTGTGTTCTCATTCACTACAACCTCATCAAAGGTGGCTGACTAGCATTCTACAACCTATGCTGTCCTCAGCCTTTCTTTCCAAATCTATACAGTTGTTATTCATCCTTCTCATGTATGTCGCCATTTATAGGCATAATATTTTCTATGGTCTCCCTTTTGACCTTGGGGATTCCAAATGCGGGCTTGTCTTGTGACGCATGTCTATCCACTTCCAGCGCTTCTTCATAATTTCATCCTCTGCTCTAATCTGGATTCTTCAGCACACAGTAGATTGTTGATGATAGTGTCTGGTTAACCATTAATCACAACCTGTATCTTCCGGATGATGGCTTTCGTAGTTCTTGAAGTTTCCAACCAATACAGTTGAATTGCCTTGAGATTTTCAGTATTGAAAATTATCACTTTGGTGAAAAAACCACATCATAGTCTCAATACAGTATTTGAATAATTATTAATCCTTATTTCTAATAAACCAATACACATAATTCAAATAATGCCTTTTAGATTGAATTATCTGGTCTATTCATTGCGTATAAAAGTTTCTATATTTTTTAAAAAAAAAACATTGAAATCATGAACGAACCATTGTTAGACCATTATTATAAACTTCGAAGCATTGAACGGTCGTTTCGTCCTGCTGTGGGACTCATCAGTAACAGTGAGTATCCACGACGAATGCTACCCGCAGGATTCGAAACTAGGACTTCGATCACCTTTAGATCAATAAGAACTTACGACATCATACTAACGCTTCATAGACAAATATGTCAAGGATTCAATCTTGATACTTGTGCTGCTCAATAAAAAGAGTTTGAGTACTACATGTATATATAACATTTAGGTACAACTCCATATCACAATAGCAGTTGTCAATTCAAATCCAATACTTATAGAGGTAGTGGCAATATTAGCGATAAAGGAGAAGATCAAGTTTCGAAGATATTATTCAAGAAGTATGATTCAGTAAGATAAATTTAGAAAGACACAGGTGATGAGGAATTCAGAAGACTGGAATTCGAGAGAACACAAAGAATCGATGCACCTGCGCCATGTCAATTAAGGTCTTTTAACAATCGCTTACTTTTGTCTCAGTTCACTTATCACTGACTAATATGGCTTTGTGCTATGTTTTTGATTTGGCCGCCGCCATATTAGCTTTGTTCCAACCTATTCCTACATTACAAAAACACACATAACTCATCATAGCATTCAATGGTCAAACATATTTTGTTTCCTAACAACAGCATTGCTTACCCCGATGTAATTATTATTATATAACTATTAAATAATGAGTAGTTGTTAGCCAAATGACATCATCATACAGCTAAATAAATAATAATCATCAAAACTTAAAGGTTTACATACACAAGAACACAAAAAAAAGTATATAAGAAATTACACCACAAAAACAAGTAAGTCAAATCCAACAATACAATTTGGCAAAAAAAAAAAGTATTATCAAATATCGTTTTTTCTCTTGTCTTCTGACAAGAAAGAACAAGACATAAAACAGCCGCAGCCGCAGCCGCATCAGCAACTGAACACCAAAAAAAAAAATTAAACACCATCGAACTGATTCGATGAATCAAGTAGGCGAAGAACACAGATAGATAGATAGATAGTACCACAGAAAGAGATCAAACAAATACTCTCTCTCTCTCTCTCTATTCTTCTAACACAGTCAACATAGGAAAAGAAAGCTATCCTTATGTTTTGTTAACTTAACTAAATCCTATAAAAAAAAAAGAAAATCAAGTAATCAGCTTGTCAAATAACCGCTTTGTATTACAAGTACACTTTTCATTTGTCTACCATCACAGTTACACCAACACACCAACACACCAACACACAGACGCATAGATTTACGTAAATAGTCGGTTGATTTTTTTCTTTTTCAGGGCATTTCGATCTGTTTTCTGGATTGATAAAAATAACAAAATTAATAATAATAATAATAATAGTAATATTATTATTATTATTATTATCATGAAGGAAAGTATTATTACCTAAATTCATTAGTTAGTTGAAATTCTTATTTTTTTTCCTTCACATCTACAAGCTATTTATCTTTAAATAAGTAGTTAGTTAGTTAGTTGGCAAAAAAAATTACCGTCTGTTCATTTATGACCCCCGACATTGTGACGTTGTGTTCCGAACACCAACACAAACCTACACACTCACTTAATCACTGCCTAAATTGAATCGTTCGCTCTTCGTTCATGTATGTGTACCATTCACAAGTGTGTGTTCTTTATTGTCGATACAATTTTGTGTGGTTTTTTTTCTATGGCATTAGACATGTATAATGTGTACACCAATATATATATATATATATATATATATATATATATATATATATATATATATATATATATATATATATATATATATATATATATATGTAAATTCATTTTTGACCAAAAACTTATTTTTTTTTTCACTCCCTGATTTCATTTATTTTTTCTCTCGAATAAAAATTTCTTTTCCTTTTTATTTTTCATTTTTTTAATGAAAAATGTACGAATATTTATCAGTGAAAATTATGTAGGTATATATATTTATATATATAAATTTTTTTGACAGTTGACTAATGGGTAATATTGTTTTGTTCTTTGACTCTTACAAGTAAGCGAGCGAGCGAGCGAGCCAGCCAGCTAGCTAGCTAGCTAGCTAGTTAGAGAGAGAGAGAGAGAGAGTTATGACTATTCGTTTTCGTGTTCTTTCTACTTTTACATTTTGACCAGAATGAAAAGTAGAAATCATAATCAGGAATGAAATACAGCACTTTGGTGGATTACTTTCTTTTATCTCTATAGATCGCTCGCTCGCTCGCTCGCTCTGGTGTGCGTGCGCGCGCACTCACTTGCACAGAGCTATTTTTATTTTCCTCTGAGCAAAATACTTGGCATATTCTTGTTCAATGTTCAACTGGTAATGCATCATTGCCAACCAGGCTAACATAATATATATATATATATATATATATATATATATATATATATATATATACATATATATATATTTCATGTCAGTGTTCAGATAGCTTATCACACAATGTACAATACAGTGTGTGTGTGCGTGCGTGTACTAATCTAACCAAGAGAATCAGGTACCAAACATTGTGATTCTAATTAGAAACTATAAAACAGTGATAAAATTTCTTTTGTTTGGACTTTATGCATGTATGTATAGAAATGTTTGATCGGTGTTTCTGAAACGAAAGAAACAAAAAAGGATGTTGATAAACAGTCATGTGTTAGTTTAGGTGTGTACCATTATGGTCAGTCGAATGTGTATAGTTTATAACTAATCGTACACACACACACACACAGGTATAACTTATGCATTGATATACAATATAAGCATGTATATATGCAACAACATAGTTATAGTTGAATGTCATCTTAAAAAAGTTCAGCTGAAATTTGACAAACTCTGACAGATTTATAACGAAGTCAAGGCGAACTTGTACTGTATTATTTATTCAAACCGGTTTATGTTAGAAAGAAAATGGGAAATAATCTCACATTATTATATATATATATATATTTCTGATATTGTTTAGGCTGTAAAGAATATGTATACCCGTTTGAAAAAATTCACCTATTTGATTTGATTTAATTTTGACGATTTGACTAGAAATGATGTCAAGAATTTTCTGTATTATGAAACTGTGAAATCGTTCACTGGCTAGATTTATGGTAGATCACAATTAGAAAACTTGATCAACTAAAAAATAGCCGCTTTGTTTTCTAATATGGATATGGAGACTCCTAATCAGTATGCATTGGCAATATCCTCACGAATCGAGTAATTCACTATTCATGTTCAATACTTATAGTTGTTACTTCGCTTGTAATAGTTATTGGGCTGTTTCAGTTGATATTTCCGATGGCGACCTCTTCTCGCATTCTTCTGGATGCCGTGACGATTGCTTGGATATTTCATCATTAAGTCAACGGCTGCTATGTTAAGCGGAGATGATTGATAGTTAACTATGGATTTAGAAAGCAGTAACTGAATGTACCTACATTACAGAGTTGATGTTCATTCCGAGATTCGAATTTATTGCCATTTACTTTAAATGACAATTAGCCAGTGAGTGCCAATAGTCATTGGCTAATGCGATAGTCAGCTGAAATCTCGCTTTTGCTCTTGTCTTCGCACTCATGTGGTGTGTTTTTAGAGGGTATCAACATGTGTGTTCTCGGTTACTACTCATCATAACAGCAGTCGTACGGAGAGGTCAGTATTCGGTCGTTCATTTGGACTAACCAGATAAAACCCGTTCTGATTAAACCTTGCAGTTGCAAACATTTTCTGATAATTTCATTTTTTCCAAATTGTTGAAATGGTGGAGAAAATAGTTCTAGCTCAGATGGATGACTGTTGTGAAGTTTGTTTCTGTGAGCTAGATGTTTTGATTGTGGAGCTTTGATTGTTCTGAATAACATCACAAACTTCAGATAGAAGTAGAAGAAGTGAAGTAATCAAATTTGTTCACGTTTGACCTGTAGCTTCTTGTTGTGTTTCTGTTAACCTCGATCTTGATTGGTTGTTACTGACCTTAAGACTGTCGACGCTTTTCCATCTGTCTGTCATTTGATCCTATGTTTGCAAACGTGAAAGGTTTGTGCTGATGATGTTGTTCAGCAGAAGAACACCGACAGCTCCACAAATGATACCTCCAACAAACGCGTTAGTTTTTCCCTTTGACCTACACTCTACTATCACTTCAAAATATTTGTAAGCATAGAGTGTAGTTACTCATGAGTAGTGTAGTGCAAACACCAAAAAGTCTTTACAAAAAAAATGACATTTTCAACAGAGATTAAAATAATATTTTACACCATAAGATAATTGAAAATCAATTTCAGTAATCCTTGACAAAGATTACCGAAAATGTGAAAGCGGTTCATCCATCAATCCTTTTCAATATGACATAATCAATCAACCAACAATATTTCGATGAATCAGTTGAAAAATTCATAAACAAAATTATAGGATGAAGAATCCAATCAAAGTGAGATACAATCAAAAACAATTAAAAGGCAGATAAGGACACTTTAAAAGTCAACAACAATCATCAATCGCATCAGCAACAACCTAATGTGCGAAAGAACAAACCAGATACCAGTGGAGGAAGAAATCAACAAGAATAAGAAGAAGAAGAAGAAGAGCTGGAATTGGATAGGACAAACAATCAGGTAATCAGCCAACTACGTCACAAGAAAATCCCTTACTTGGAATCCTCAAGGTTAGAGGCGAAGAAAAAAACCAAATGACACACAAAATGGTTACAGACATGAGAATAGTGGACACCAGATGAACAGAACTAGAAAACATGGCTGAGGACAGAGTAGATTTTAGAATGCTGATTGTTTGACTTTGCTCCATTAGGGGTAACAGGTGTAAGTAATTAAGACCATTCAGCCGGTATCCAACTTTGATAATGACTAATTTCAATCATTGACTCTAATGAAAAATCAGTTATTTATATAATAAAATTTGATTTAAAAACCAACTAATATATGTTTTTGGTTTCATTTTTCGAACAATTTTAACAAAAATTCAAAATAACACTTCATTAATTCGTTTTTTTAATTAGATATGCTGTAGAGACTGAAGTCACAACCCATTCAACTTATTCACCAACATCTTATATTGAAAATCATTCCGACAATTGTACAAAATCAAATTGTACCATTCAAGAAACCTCAACAATAGATCAAACACATGAAATCAATTCGTCCATGAAGATGACACCCGCGACAACAACAACAATCAACACCACCAACCCAACGCCGACAACGACGCCAGCGGCCAAAATCAATACACCGCTGAATTATGACACAATGTTTATTCCATCAACAACTAGTTGGAATGAACAAGATCATTTATCGATTGATAAGTCATCGCATGTTATCGATTCTTATAAAACAAATTACCTGACAAATTGTGATCATTATTTTTATCATTATCGAAAACAGAATAAATTGATATTTGAAAATGGTCAATCCATGTCTTGTGCGGAATTATTCCAATTAGGTTTTGGTAATTGGACCAGTCAAATTCAACAATTCGGTGCTCAATTAAAAATATTAATTCAAGATGATTACAATGCAGTTTGGGGTTTAGCTGCATTGATTTTAGTGAATTATAAATCAGTCAATTGTAAGTTTTTACCGATTGACACAGTTGATGATTGGTTAGTAGGATTCCTTTTTTAAAACATCTATTTTTATAGTTCTGTCAATATTAGAACACCGTTAGAGAAACCTGGAGGAGTTGGACGGTCGTTTCTTTCTGATGTGGGGCTCATTAGCAGTTCGCATTCTCGACCCTATCGAGCGGGAACCGAACTTTGAACCTTTAAATTTGTATGCGAATGCCCACTTCTAGATCACTAAGCCGGCATTCAATGATGTTTTCGTCTAACTTCCAAGTTTCTAATGGTGGTCTAACATTGACCGTCGTAGTGTGTTCTTCGGCCTTCCTCTTCTCCTTTGGCTTTGAATATTCCATGTGTGGGTTCGTCTTGTGCCACATCAGGATGCTTTCCTTAATGTATCCTATCCACCTCTATTGCTCTTTTCTGATTTCTTTCTCCTCCCAGAGCCTGTTGGAGGCTACTGTTAGTCCCAAACCCGGATAAAGGATAAGGGTTGGGCATGAGGTTAGCGACCTCACCACATAGAAAATTAACTCGCAAAAAAATCACTAAACTGAAAAACACTCATGATGTACACAACGCACATATCTACATATGATTTTATTCAAATCAGTTTTCGATTTCTTATTAGATGTTGATTCCAAGGTAAAATACCGTTTAATACTCAGAGATAACATTTTCAATGTGTCTATAACAGTTTTAAAAGTTGTAACAGATTGTAAATCCAATAAACTAGATTTTAAGTTTCTTGATTTTGAGTGTATTATGAATTTTGGCGTGAAAGGTATTGCTTCATTATTGTTAAACAGTTTCAGTCACAACTAATCATGTGTTCACCAGTGACTAGTTTCATGATGTATTTATGCAGTTCTAGTCTGAAGCCATAAACAGGAGAGTTCAGTTTGTGTCGTTTGTGAAACTGTTGTCCACGGCATGCTATAGAATGAAGGTTGTAAAGTAGTTTGGATTGATTGAAGTTAGACAATAAAACCGTTGTATAGGCAACTCAATAATCTAAAGGTGATTGTTTGACGCGCAGCAGAATCTCCTACGTGCATCGGTCATGGTTGCACATTACACTAGGAAGACGTGTTCATCTAGTGTCTCTGGGTTTCCAAATGATATTAGACCGTCATTAGTAACCTAGATGCACTAAAAAGCAGCCATTACGTCTTGGTATTGGACTCATTCGCAGTGTGCATTACTGACCTCCGTTCACAAGAATCAAACTCAGGAACTTTGGTCTCACGTGCCAACGCTTAACCACCTCTGTACCACTCAACTGGCATCTGAAGTTGCTAATGTGTAATTCTGATAATCTACGGATTTTGCTCGACCTCACCTATTGTTTTCGGCAGTTACTGTCTACAGAGTTGAACTTCACTGACGAGACGATAGTCATCAATGGTTAGAGACCTTGAACGACATGGCTCAAAATCGTTTGCAATGCCGCAAGTGCATCCACTCGTTGAGCTCTCTCAAATCCTAATCTTCTGTATTAGCCAGCACATCTACCTTTGTCTTTCTAACCTTATCTCACTGAATTATACTTCTTGAATAATATCTTAAACCCTAGTCTTCTTTATTATAACATTAATACCTCTACTATCTTTATCACTATGGGATTTGATTTGACATTTGCGTCTCTGTGCTAATAATGTGGTTATGGCAACATGAACTTATGTACATACGTACGAAGTTCTACGTTGCAACTGACTGACTGACTGACTGTCCGAAAGAGACAGCTTACTGCTGTCACACGCTACCGTCCGAGAATAGGTTTCCATGAATGCATTATTCTGAACGCTGGTTAACGCTTTCATTCAATCTGGAATCGATTATCACAAACTACCCGCATTGTGAAATATGGATCTAGAGCTACGCAGACAAAGGTCTACCGATATGTCCTCTTCGGCACTCAAAGAAATTCGATACAAAAAATTTAGTATAATGTTCGGTATCTTTACAGGCCAACCACGACCGCTTGTTCCGAAGCCGTTTAGACAATATTTTTCGAAACTAAGCATAATATACTACATCATAGAATTAAGGCCATGATCAGCCTGACGAGCGATCGTTCTGCATGGAGAAGAATGAACCGGAAGTTTCGTAACTGGATTCAAGTATGTACAAAATGCCTGAGAATTAAAGAACATCGTCTTAAAGAACACACGAGTGATCTAAGAATAACGCCTCCGAAGAAAAATCAATATGTGATAAATATTTCGAAGCGATTGAACGACAATATTCATGCATTTATCAGAAGGGATATTGTACGACGTCCCTACAACAGACCTATGATGGTCCATTGAAAATTGTCAGAATAAAGGACAAAACTATCACTGTAGACAAAGCTAGGAAGACGGATGTAATTAGCGTCAACCTAGTAAAAACAGCTTTTATCAAAACTGGCGAACAGTTAATAATCACAAATACTTCGAAAATCATCAAATCACCGAAACGCGAGTTTAAACCATCAGCGACTGCAACGGAGAAAGTTCAGTAACGACTAGAAATGGATGAAGATACAGATGGTCGCGAAGATACATAGCTGCGATTTTGAATTATTAATTACTTTCGCCATTTCAAATGTACAATTTTTGTTAGCTCCGTATATGCAGGTAGATATTTTAACTTATCTAGTATCAGCAGTCGTGCGGAGAGATCAGTATTCGGTCGTGAGTGCCAATAGTTATTGACTAATGCGATAGTCAGCTGAAATCTCGCTTTTGCTCTTGTCTTCGCACTCATGTGGTGTGTTTTTAGAGGGTATCAACATGTGTGTTCTCGGTTACTGCTCATCATAACAGTAGTCGTACGGAGAGGTCAGTATTTGGTCATTCATTTGGACTAACCAGATAAAACTTGTTCAGATTAAACCTTGCAGTTGCAAACATTTTCTGATAATTTCATTTTTTGCAAATTGTTCAAATGGTGGAGAAAATAGTTCTAGCTCAGATGGATGACTGTTGTGAAGTTTGTTTCTGTGAGCTAGATGTTTTGATTGTGGAGCTTTGATTGTTCTGAATAACATCACAAACTTCAGATAGAAGTAGAAGAAGTGAAGTAATCAAATTTGTTCACGTTTGACCTGTAGCTTCTTGTTGTGTTTCTGTTAACCTCGATCTTGATTGGTTGTTACTGACCTTAAGACTGTCGACGCTTTTCGATCTGTCTGTCATTTGATCCTATGTTTGCAAACGTGAAAGGTTTGTGCTGATGATGTTGTTCAGCAGAAGAACACCGACAGCTCCACAAATAAGACGTCCAACAAACGCGTTAGTTTTTCCCTTTGACCTACACTCTACTATCAGTTCAAAATATTTGTAAGTATAGAATGTGGTTACTGGTGAGTAGTGTAGTGCAAACATCAAAAAGTCTTTACAACAGAGATTAAAATAATATTTTACACCGTAAGATAATTGAAAATCAATTTCAGTAATCCTTGACAAAGATTACCGAAAATGTGAAAGCGGTTCATCCATCAATCCTTTTCAATATGACATAATCAATCAACCAAGAATATTTCGATGAATCAGTTGAAAAATTCATAAACAATTATAGGATGAAGAATCCAATCAAAGAGAGATGCAATCAAAAAAATTCAAAGGCAGATAAGAACACTTTAAAAGTCAACAACAATCATCAATCGCATCAGCAACAAGCTAATGTGCGAAAGAACAAACCAGATACCAGTGGAGGAAGAAATCAACAAGAAGAAGAAGAAGAAGAGCTGGAAGTGGATAGGACAAACAATGAGGTAATCAGCCAACTGCGTCACAACACAAACCATCCATCACTTGGAAACCTGAAGGCCAGAGGAGAACAGGTAGACCAAATGACACATTTCGCCGAGAAATGCAGACACAAATGAGAGGAGAATGAACACCAGCTTGACAGAAGTAGAAGGGATGGCTGGGCACTGAGTAGGTTGTAGAATAAATACTGTTAGTTTGCCTATGCTATGCTATGCTATGCTCCATTCAGGTGAACCAGGAGCAAGTAAGCAAGTAAAAAGTTAAATCACTAACAGCCTCATTGAAAATATGTTTTGTCTTTATTTGATGTTGTATAAGCTGTTCACACTTGCAAAATATCTTTCGAAATCTTAAAATTGTTAGGATATTCATTCATCCAATATGCTAAGATAATTGTTTGTAAGTCTTATTCTGTTGGTAAGTTCCTATTGGTCGTCCTAACTATCAATGTCACATACTTCGAATGTTGTTTCCAATTGGTCATCATAACTGTCAATGTCACAGACTTCAATGTTGTTTCCTATTGGACGCATTATCTGCAACGTTTTATGACGCAGCCGTGGATCCCTAGTCAACGTGATCGTATAATGGAAGCCGCTTTATTTTCTAATATGGATAGAGACAGTTGCGTCTCTGTGCTAATGCGATATGACAACCTGAACTGATGTGCATACGTACGAAGTTCTGCGTTGTATCTGTCTGTCTGTCTGTCTGCCTATACTTACAAACTAGTTGTTCTGTAATCACATGCTCTCATTTCATAAACATTTTCTGTTTCTTATAGGGTTTGGCTAATATCATCATATCAACTTCAGCTGCCTCTTGTAAGCACATACATCCATATGGAATCGATTGAGATATGTTAGTTACCCTTATGCTCCAGTGAGTTACTACAAACGAATAACATCACATTTATCAGCATAAAAATATTTTACGACACCGGAATAAGAGATTCTAGTTGACGTTTTGAGTCAAATCAGCTATTCTAAAGATTTATCAAGTGTTTTTTTTGATCGAAATGATATTTTAATGATCAATTGATACAACCTTAGGTTCAATCACTCACTTCTCTAACCTAGTAAGCTATTTTTGGTAAAAAATTAGTATGGATATAAAATTGGTTAATTATCATCTGAGTAGTTTGTGATGTTAGTTTGAACGAAATATAAACAAATTTAACAACCATATGTTTCACCATTACAATCAACATCACATAACACAAGTTAAATCTGCAACAAAACTTTATTCATTATCTGATGATTCTAAAAGAACTATAGGAATAAAACAATGAATTGTAAAG